AAAGAGGAGTTAGTTGGGTTCTTACTTGGGATCACCAGTGTAAAAGTTTACATTGAAAATCCAGAGTTACAGAAAATTAACATACTTCTGGAAGAGGCATTCATTTGAAAATTGAAAACAATACACAGAATAAGCTGCATACAGTAACAGGATAACATTTAAAGAAGTCTGGTTTTTTGTTACAGATCCACTCATATGTTTACTGTTTGACAAGGTAGTGGTCTCTTCTTAATGAAAGTGTGTTCCGCACACTTTGAGTTACCAACACACAAGGACCAAACACTTTTGTTTGTAGGAAGGAAGTCATGTACTACACAAATACAGGTGTGTAACTAGAAACAAAATGTATCAAAATGTTTTGCATGCCTAGCAGTCACACCATAAAGCTACCATACCTGAAATGGGGCAGTTACATCATATACAAACATTTTGATGTTTCCAAAATGTTCATCATTATGAAAATGCAGTTGAAACTTAATTTTTAAATTCAAGTTCTTCCCCATAATTTTCCTCCCACCTTGACAAGTAATACAAAATTAATAATTACAAGTACGTTTAATTCTGATATCTCTACTTACTTTGCCTTTAATCTTACTTTCAAGAGTGGAGACTACATTTTCTGTTGAGGTTGAGCTGGATGAACAGTAGCTTTTAGAAGGAGAGCCTTTGCCTGAACTTACCTGCAGAGAAGAAGAGAAATTTTCTATTACGAGCATCAGCTGTTTTGGCTGTGAGCTGCTGTATAGTTAACTATTCCAATGTTTGGTTCCCTACCGTGCATTAAAGCTGTAATAGGTCAACATGTGGCCAAACCCTTTGACTGCTAGGTGATGATTAATTTTCATTGTTCCTTCTGATTAATTTCAATTACTTTATTAAGAATCCTACATAATCAGCTAAATTACAGTTAATATAACATATTAATGATTCCTACTAAGCTGCCACCTAGATTTATGAAGATAAATTTGTCATAGCAATTAATAACATAAGGGTCAATCTTCTTTGTCAGCAACAACTAACTACCATGTTATAAGGCCCCAAGATTCCCAGTTGACAAGTATAGAGAGTTGTACAGCTCATGCAACACTAATAATAACTGTTGGACAACCATCATTTTGTAAAGATGAAAGTTCTGATCGAAATGCAGAATTCTCCTCACACTTCGATCCGAAATGCGCAGAGCAGCAGCATGTCTCAACGCCGAACGACGAGGGCTTCTCCCTATCGCCTGTCTAATGGCCTCGATGTTTTCCGGTGTGCGGACTGTCCTTACTCCTCTGGGGCGGTTTCCTTTTCAATGAAGAACTGGTGGCTCTAAAGTTTTCTACCCACAATAATATGGTGTTTCGAGTAGGAACTCTCCCGTGTCGCCCGACATTAAAATGCAATCTAAACGCTCGTTGCATTTTAACAACTGAATCACCACTTTTAAAAAAATTCTCTATAACAAACGCACGGTGAGCTGCATTTCACTGCTCCATGAAATGCCTGCAGTTTTAACCAATCCAAAAACATCAGATTCCTCTGCCGGACCCTGTACAATACAAAACAGACATATTTGCCGATTTCCGAAACCTGAAGAATTTCAATCTTTGATAGTCATCCGATTTGCAGCCACAGGAGATGCACGAATCACAACACAATCATGTAAAAAGAGTAACACTTCGTGTTTAAAATTAAACCATAAACTTATGGCAACAAGAAATCAGAACTAATCTTCCTATTAAATTATCAGAACACAACCAAATTCCATTACCCTCTTTCAACACAACACCAACAAATGTAACCGTCCACGCTCAAATACACAGCTGCTTCCTGATTGGTTCCGTCGAGTAAGCTAGGTTCTTGCGACTGGCGACATCTGACGTGAGCGGCTTGTACCAGCTTGTACTTCGTGTCTATTTTGACGAAGTAACTAGGGATAATTAGTTCCGGATAAACGTCACTAGAGTTTGGTGCTTCCATCAAACAGATACTTTTCTCCAATATTCGTAATTTTAAGCTGGTACTTGTGCTGCAAGACAAGTACTAAGGTTGTTGTAATATGTGTGTTGACTGTGGAGCAATCTGTGCACGTGTCTTGGACTCCAGTGTGGAAGTGTATGTATCGTTGGAGATGTATGTTATACGTCAAAAGTTCTATGTAGGGTTTTTGAAGAATAAATTGCACATGTTGTTAATTGTTATACTATTGACGGTCAGAGCTGTATTGGCACGTGCATACATGGTGCATGTTACAGAAGAAACTAATTTTTGCCTTTGGGTGTGACACGCCGTGTGAGAATATAATTAATGCCAGAAGTTTCGAAGACTGTATCGGCCTCCATCATCAGGCTTCATATTCTGAGCGTCCGTTTTATTTATACATTTTTCACACGTATAGGCCATGGTGGCTTTTATCTTTGAGAGGTCATCAACGGAGTAACTGTGGGCGAAGTCAAGCGAAGAGCTGTCACCAGTCTGTGTTACTTATCCCATGTAGTCTGAGAAGCTGGTTCTCTTTCTGTTATTTTTTATGTGTCTCAGTCATTCCTGTATTTGAGTGTCCATGTAGACAAACCATATCAGTTTTTAAACTTGATTAATCCTGGCTACATATGGAAGGCAGTATTAATTGCCTTTCATGAGAAAATATTTTGTGTTGGACATAGACAATGACTGCTGTATTTTTATCAGTATCTTGCCTGTCCTAGCGGTCTTCTGTAGATTAGTAGAAGCTTCACATATGTATGATGACTTCCCAGTAGCAGTATCAAAACGCGAGCTGTGTATCATTAATACTTAAGCATGCACAGTGAAAACAAATGTCATACTCTCCACACCATACAGTTGTGTGTTCACCATAAAATTCTTTTCACACACAGTACACAAACCTTTACTTTGGCCATGAGGGTCAAGAGAGGTATATTACACAGGGAAGGGTGTAAACAACAGAGCTGGAGCATATGTAGAAATATGTCCACTTGCTCTGAGAACTTGTGAAAGAATAATAATTATAGTGATGAATTAATGATGATGATGATGTTTGTATTTAATTTCAGGTTTGAAGCAGAAATAAAAGTTTCCTTGTAAAAGCAGGAATATTAGAACATCTAATAAAACTGATCTCTGCAAGTGTACAAGATGGATAGCAAAGGCAGTGCTGAATTGTTGAACTCTGAGACAAATCACTCAAAACATGCGAGTTCTGATTCCTTGGCTTCAGATTCCAAGTCCAGCTCACTTAATTCCAAGTTAGGCCAAGAGTCAGTAAGTACTGTGATGATTAACACTCTATAGCTGAGGTTCCCAAACTTTTATACCTTGTGCCCCCCTTAAAACATTTCATAAATTTAATGCCTCCCTTCCAGAACCAGTGCAAGCAAACAGATTTGACATAAAATTTAGCTATGGTATATATATTTTTATAATTTAGTATATATTATTCAATGCATTTAATTTAAAAAAACTGTAATAAAATATATGCTTCGTACCTGGATTAGTGAGATGGATGTGGTTGCTTCTGCGAACATATCTTATCATACTGAGGTTGGAGTTTTGTCCCCCCCCCCCCCCAGAAAACCCCTCGCCCCCCCCCCCGGGGGGGGGGCCACACTTTGGGAACCTCTGCTCTATAGCATGTTTTTTTAGAATCAGATTTATTATTTACAAGCATCTGATTTGTTTAGCAGTTGAAGAAATTGAGTGTTTTATATGTGTTTGAACACAATCCTGATTCACTTATTACTTATTATTGTGCAAGCATATTGTTGTATGGAGTGTTGTCTTTCTTTTTTTAGGCAATCATGACCTAATTAATTCAAGACTGAACAAACCAAAGGTTTGGAGTTTAGATACAAAGTTTTATATTAATGTGGGTTTAAATGTGTGTTACAAAGAGTTGTCTTATTTTACATCTGAATTATTAATTTAATTTGAATTTTTAAATTTTGAAAATGCATAGTAATAGAATGGTGAAAAGGGTCGGTCCCCCATCTTGGGGTTTGGCACACAGGTTAACAACCTCTGACCATAAAATCTTGCATTTGAAATGTTACACAGGGCTTCAAGACTTGAACATGTGACCATGCTAATGAACCTTGAAGTTCCATAGAAGATGGGAATTTATTGACCAGCTTTTTGAAAAGGACTCTGCTCCATGGAGTTGTTAACCCTTTTCCAGCCATAATGCCATAATACACTCAATACTTTAAAACTCTGCTCTGGTCTAAATGTTTTAAGAATGCTTTTATTTGTATGCTGTAGTTAACAGTCTAAAAAACAGCAACAAGCTCAAGCAGTGTTGAAATAAACAGAAATGGTGAAGGGCTAAAATGCCTATCACAGTAAATTCCTCAAGGGATTGTATTCAGGTACACATTATCAGGAAGTGTCATACGTAGTTCATCAGTATCAACCATTGACTCATGACTTAGACAAACAAATCACATCTTTAAAAATGCAGTTTTGCTGTTTGTCTTCTCATCTATCTGTACTCACTCTGGCTGAACAAATTGGTTTAAATTTGACAGAGGACTCAGACAGAATTTAAATGCTGTTCACAAATGACTGAAGCAGTGGACTGAGGTGTAAATGTACCTGGTCATGCAGTAACATTTTAAAACTTATCAGCGATGTGTTTCATAGCTGTTGAGGGAACGCTATACTTGTCAACTGGAAATCCTGCGGCCTTATAACATGGTAGTTAGTTGTTGCTGACAAAGAAGATTGACCCTTATGTTATTAATTGCTATGACAAATTTATCTTCATAAATCTAGGTGGCAGCTTAGTAGGAATCATTAATATGTTATATTAACTGTAATTTAGCTGATTATGTAGGATTCTTAATAAAGTAATTGAAATTAATCAGAAGGAACAATGAAAATTAATCATCACCTAGCAGTCAAGGGGATTGGCCACGTGTTGACCCATTACAGTTTTAATGTACGGTAGAGAACCAAACATTGGAAGAGTTAACTATACAGCAGCTCACAGCCAGAACAGCTGATGCTCGTAATAGAAAATTTCTCTTCTTCTCTGCAGGTAAGTTCAGGCAAAGGCTCTCCTTCTAAAAGCTACTGTTCATCCAGCTCAACCTCAACAGAAAATGTAGTCTCCACTCTTGAAAGTAAGATTAAAGGCAAAGTAAGTAGAGATATCAGAATTAAACGTACTTGTAATTATTAATTTTGTATTACTTGTCAAGGTGGGAGGAAAATTATGGGGAAGAACTTGAATTAAAAAATTAAGTTTTAACTGCATTTTCATAATGATGAACATTTTGGAAACATCAAAATGTTTGTATATGATGTGACTGCCCCATGTCCGGTATGGTAGCTTTATGGAGTGACTGCCAGGCATGCAAAACATTTTGATACATTTTGTTTCTAGTTAGGGTCATTAAACAGTACTTGCTGAGAGCCATACTTTAGTAAAAGTATACTTTATTATTACATTGAAATATATAATCGTAAAATAGTTGCATTGAAACTTATTTCCTGGTACTGTTTCTTTTTGGAAATCCACTGTAACCAGATATAGTGTCCATATCACAAAACTGTATCAAAAAAAGGCCTGTTTTAATCTTTAAAAAAGGAAGTCACTAGTCAAATTTAAGGATCAAGGTTAATCTGTATTCTGTAGGCTGTGATGTAATGGGACCGTTCATGGCTATCAGCATTATTAATTTATAACAGTCCTTGTCTAGTACTGAATCCATTCAAGATCTGAATGTAGTTTTATTTAATAAATTCCTAACAATTTTTCAGTTTGTTTCAGTAGCACATGATGCGCCTTTACTTTCTTAAAACTTTAAATATTTTGTGATTACTTTTCTTTTGCTTGTATTACGATATATTGAGTAATTCTTTAAAATTATTCCATTTCCTATGTCAGTAGCCAGGATCAGGATATGAAAATTAAAATTGATTTTGCAGATTTAAGGCATCCAGGCGCAGCCCTCAAAATTAAATGGAAGAAGCCTGGAGGTTAAACAAATAAAATCTAACGGGTAGAACAAAATCAGTATACGCAGAGCAGCAGATGCAACAGTTTTTAATTTTGATTGATAGACCTGACGATGATGGAATGAACATCGAAACATGTCGTCATTTTAAAATGTAACAATATCAAATGTTGAAATGTTATAATTTTATGTGATTTTAACAATCTATAAGCTTGTGTAAAGACGGTGAATAAAATTATTGTATTTCTTAAACCTGTATCATCATCCTTATTCTTTTTCTGAAGCACAGTTGTTAGGCATTGTTCCTTCTGATCATTGTTATTTTATATTCTGATCATGACCAACTAACGGACTATTCCACAAAGATTTTAGAAGTGTGAAGCACTTGTACTTGGTTAATTTAATCTTGTAATTTCAGAATCTGGTCATATATTTTCCATTGTCCAATACTAAATAATATCAATAAAATCCACGACATCTCTGAAATGTCATGAATTTTATTGATTTTATTTAGTATTGAAGGATGGATAATATCCAGTAAACTGTTTACTTCAACAATGCACCATCATCACAAACTTTTAGAATTGAGCTGGTTGCATGTGTTGGAAATCACACAGTTGTTTTAAATTGTAGGATTATTAAAGCTATAATAAATTCAGTATACTGTGATAACATGAGGTGAAGCAATTTAAGTTCTGCAAATATTGAGTATTGAAACACTGACACCTATGTGTGCATATGTCGTCACCTTAATAGGAACTGGTGAACAAAGTATGAAAAGTATGATGTAGAACAGACCTGCACAACTTGAAATTACGTGCGGGTTAAAATGTAAATGATGGAAATGCTTTGGGCCGCATTCTTGTATGTCATGTATGATAATTACATTAGTTAAAAATATGTGAACATAATGCATTAATTATGTTCAATAAATACATTTATGTGTTATATTAATTATGGTGTTAACTCAATTTAAATATACCAGTGCATTATTTTAATATTTCAATTTGTAAGAGTGCAAATTCAGTAATTAACAAGTTGTTATTAATTCTTTGGTTATTAGAAAGTACAACTTTTATGATAGGACTGGTAACTTTCAAGAATGTAGGTAAGAAAATAAAGAATATCAGGTTTTATTATAATTGATTAATTTTGAAAGAAATGGTGACCGACAAGCTTGTTGTCTGTCACATGACATCAGTGGTTTGAAACTTCTACAGATCATTAGATAGGCCTACCCGTAGCTATGTCAGAAGATTACTAGTTTACAGTTTGAACAGTATTACCTCAGAACGTACTGTGGTGGCCACTACTGTGGGTATTAATGCTATGACATTTAAAGGAAAGCACTATCAGAAATAAAATTTGTATCATTACAATTTTGTTTACTTTTAATTATCTAATCCATAAGTATCTCATAATTATGATGCAGGGTCTTCCTTGTAAAAGTGATAAGTTACCCAGCTGGCCAATGAATCCAATGATTTTAATGAACCAAAAATTCATTAATATGATTACTAAAACCTGCCATTGAACCCTGTCCTAAGCCAATTCCTTTTCTTGTTTTTTTGTATGGTTTTCTTTCTTTTGTCAGTTTTACTCAGTTACTGGACTGACTACCACAGTTTGTCTTATGAAAGAGAAGAAAGATAGTAAAACTCTCGAAATGTATATGAACTTTCATCTGTTATTAGTCTAAAATATTAAAGAATTTGAATTGACAAAGCAGTTTCCACATGTCATCTTATAAGAGTGAAACACTGACAATAATGAAAAGTGATAAGAGCATGTTTCACAAGACAGATAAGTATTTTTCCAAACATAAAATGGATTAAGAAATTATGTCATAATTAACATTAATGTTGTGCCCCTGATAATTACAAATTTCACAATATTAGTGTTATGGAAGGAGTTTGAATCAACATGTCATAGGGTGAGTCACCATAGGTTGAAGTGAGCTGCAGTAGCTCCATGTGTAAACTGACTGGCTATTAGCTGGACAAGCAAGGTTATGTTCATGGCAGGGGACAAAATATTTTCTCTTTACTACCATGCCCAGTATGGCCCTGTGGGAAGTTGACTTTCCTGTCCCATTGTATCAGGCCTGAAGCAACTAGGTGAGTGTGAAGCTGACCTCTTATCTCCATCACGTGCTGAGGTGTATGGTTATGCAATGGAACAACTTTACCTCGTTGGTTCAAAAATAAGACACAAAGACTGCTTGAAAGAAAGAAATAACCTGTGTTTTATAATATGTGTATTATTTGTACTGGTCATAATGCCTGGAAGTTTGATAATGATTTAATCATTATCAGTGTAATATTATTAACATATGCTAAACTCCTTAGAAAAATTACAGGACTTGAAGTATTCTTACATAACATGGTTGTTTCCTGGATTTGAGCTAGTGCAATTAAACTTCTGTACTTCAGAAAGTTCATCACTGAAAACACTATATTGGTAATAGAAGTACAGAAATTAAATTAAATTCGTGGCGTAACAGCTCCAGAGAGCCAAAGCCGACTAGCTTGACTGCTGGCCTCACGTTCACATGCCTAAGCAGAGGTGAACGATCATCCAACCAGATATAGGGTGACGTGTGGTCAGCACGACGAACCCCCAGCCATTGCTAGCTTTACTGACCGGATTACGCTACTCATTGTAGCTCCCCAATTTCCTCATGATGCTGGGTTGGCACCGGTCCCATACACTGGTCGAAAGCTCATGAGAAAATTTCTTCTCCACCAATACTCGAACCAGCGCGCATTCCGTGTCGCCGGTCCGAAGCATGATGCCTCAGACCGCGCGGCTACGGCGCGGGACAATACAGATTGTGATAATATGGAAGCAGCAAGTAGACATGTTATATTGATGCTCGTGTAACACTATTTCCATGTTATAATCAGTAAGGCAACAAGGGAATCCTGCAGCATACTTATACTAAATTTTGTTGAAGGCTTAAGGAAGTTGTTTCTGTATTTTTTTTAGGGAATTTTGCAGGATGTAATAAAATGAAATGTTCAAGGGTTCAGGTATAATTAAAACCTGTAGCAATGTGTAATTCATTGATGAAGTTGTTTATGCAGTTCAGAAGTTAACATCACAACAAACCTAATGAAATATGCTTTAATTTTCATGATTTATTTGGTTTCTGGCATTTCCATGCATGAAGCATTTGAAGTGATTATCCATTTTAATTCTGAATATTTAATGACAGTGTTTATGGAGAAACTTAAGAACAGAATTAATATGTCTGTATATAGTACTTGAGATGGAAAGTCATAATCCATATTTCCAAAGTAAGCCCTTACAAGCCAACCTGCCAGTGCTTGACAGTAAATATCTTTGTCAAAATCATTCTGTATTGTGGACAGTGAACCAGAGATGGTTTTCCACTCTAGACCTTATAAAAGTGTTCTTATTTTTGGAAATATAGATTCTCACATTTGTGGGCTGAAGTGTGATGTTGAATCTAATTTGTATTACATTATCCTGTTATCCACAAATAGTATAAACTAGCTTCTTTGTTATTATGTAAGCCATTAGGCACTGCTCTGAAACCTCAAATCCTATATTAGGTACTGATTCTTAAAGTTACTGTTTTTTTCAGACAAATTTGTCTGAATCTGTTCCACCATCTCGGCCTGATGACCCGCCCCTCCTTCCTGGGGAGAAAGTTCAAGGAGTGGCACGAGAAGTCACATATTTGTGTCCATACAGTGGTCCTGCTAGGGGTGTATTGTCAGTAACAAACTACAAGCTTCATTTCCGCAGTATGGACAGGGACACTCCATATGTTGTTGATGTGCCTCTTGGTGTCGTAAGTAGTATTTCTTATCAGTCAGTGTACTTGTGAATTTGGTAAATGGGCCCTTCCACATATACCTTGATGTTTTAAGGCTTTTGGGTTTATCAAAATCAGATCTGGATTTTTGTACCCAGTTCAAACACTTTCCATTCCCACAGCATACATTTTGGGCATGATGTCAATACAAGGCTTCCAACTGTGTTCAGAGCCTTTATTAAGCCATAGATCACTTTCTTCTGTCAGGTGTAAATGTTGCTGTTATCCTGTTGCTGATAGTAGTAGAATCTTTCTCATGATTCCTTTCACTTCACTGTTCTTTATCTTGGCAGGAAGACAGAAGTCAAATATTTATCATCTCTGTTTACCATACATCCCTCAAAAAAATTTTCATTACCTCTTTTTCTCATCCACATGTTTCTCTCCTATTGAATAGGAACCCGCCGTCAGTCTTCACTGTCAAATACAACTTCAGCTATTGCCCGTTCTATATAAGGTTTCCAAAAGAGCCCAACCATTACATATTTATTCAGAAGATGGCAACTACAATGTTTCTTGAAACATTGGATAATTCTCAACATTCAACGCAGCTCAACTCTGAAAGTTGAAGTTGTACATTGAACTCTAGTCACAAAAACCAAAGGAAAAAAAATATTGAATTTTTTGTAGATTGAAAGAGGTTTTTTAATAAATATTGTATAACTGTTGAGAAAATTAGCTACTTTTGATAAACTGATAAAACATCCTTTTTCTGGTCAAAATAATAGAGCCTAAGAGAAAAATACACTTTTTACAGATTTGTGAAGTTTGTTAACTATTGAGAGTAAGAACACCTATAAAGATTAAAGTACATTAAGTATGTTTCTTTCCATTCATGTTGATAACATTGGTTGTAGATAGCATGGTTGCAGTTCTTACCATTGCTCATTTTAGAATAGTGTCCATTTACAGTAACTGCTTGAGGACTTAATGTTTACCCAATAAATTTCAGTTTTCTTTTAGTTTAGTCATGTTTATCAGTATTTCATATTTCATAAAATGGGGGATCTAAGTGTTTGGTTTTCATTTTAGGTTAGTCGAATTGAGAAAGTTGGTGGAGCATCAAGTAGAGGTGAGAACTCATATGGTATAGAAGTCTTCTGCAAAGATATGCGCAACCTTAGATTTGCACATAAACAGGTATGAATTCCACGTATTAAATGGGATTTCTAATTTTTGTCATATCTTTTAGATAGACTGAAATCTTCACGGTTAACTTAATGAATGTGTATACATAATAAAGGCATGGTTTGACTAAGAATGTGACACTGATAAAACATAATAAAGGCATGGTTTGACTAAGAGTGTGCCACTGATAAGGACTTAACAGTAGGTGCCATGGTCACTGAAATCTAAATCATATAGTTTCAGAACTTAAACTAATTTGAAGTACAGTATTATGTTCTTCTTTTAGAACTAAAAAAAAATCTTCATTTGCCACAAATTATAATTATAATAATGAAGTCCATGAACTTGAATTGAAACTATTTGATCATATTATGGTGCTTTATCTTATAAATTACTTTGAACACGTACACTCATAAATAATTGCTAACATTTTCATTATTATAAAAGGACATGGTTGAAATATTTTCTTACATTTATGACATTGGGGATATATCTTAGAAATGCTTATTTTTGTGTATGTGGTCAGTATGGACAAATTATGGGAATCTTTGCATTATAGATGATGCCCTCTCACATTTCCATCCCTTGGTGGTAGATGAGCAGTTTTGACTGAAGATTAACATTACTTTTGTGTGTGTTGGTGTTCTTCAAAATATAATTACATGTTATTTGTGAAGGTACAGAATGTCATTTTGCAAAAGTTATTTTGTGTTGCAATAGAAAGACTTGCATTAAATACTGCAATTAATATACATTTGAAACACTGACTGTAGCTGAATGTGGCAATGAAAAGATCAAGCCACATTTTTGAAGCAGGAAGTATGTTAAATAGTAAAAATAACCATGCCTTGGAACTGTAAACAATTTTGTGTATACATAAAAAATTGACTCCATTTTAGCATTATGTGGAAGATGAATAAAGTAAAGTGTTCTTATTACTGTATGATTTCTTGTTTCTTTACAGGAAAATCATTCCCGGAGGAACGTGTTTGAGAAACTGCAGCAGTATGCATTTCCTCTTTCCCACAAGTTACCTTTGTTTGCATTTGAGTACAGTGAGACATTGCCAGAGAATGGCTGGACAGTCCACGAGCCAATTGCTGAACTTAAGAGAATGGTAAATGTGTACATATGTTGACGACAAAGGAAGGGAATATTATTCACCTTCTAAATATCGTATGTATGGGTGTTTGAAAAACCCCAAATTAGATTTGCTTGTGAATATTAAACAGTGATGTGAATGAGAAATGTTTTCAGAATGTGGTCTTATATTGTGTTATTCAGTATGTCACACCTCACATTTTGACATATCCACCTGCATTTCTAACACATTTATTCAGTCTAACTTCAACATTGCCCAGTGGTGTGTGTATTAGACACAAATGAAACTTTAGACAAAGTATTTGATCATATATCAGAATCAGAATATAAAGATAGCTAATGAATCATAGGAACATGTGACAAAATTCAAATACATGGGGATGACACTAAGAAGTCAGAATGACATTCATGACGAAATCAAGAGCAGATTAAATTCAGGGAATGCTTGCTATCATTCAGTTCAAAATATTTTGTCTTCCCGTCTCATGTTAAAAACTAAAGCTTAAAATACACCACAGTATTATTTTGCCAGTTGTGCTGTATGGGTGCGAAACTTGGTCTCTCACTTTGAGGGAAGAACATCGACTGAGGTGTTTGAGAAAGGAGTGTTGAAGATATTTGAACCTAAAAGGGAGGGAGACAGATCTTGGAGAAAATTGCATAATGATGATCTGTACAGCCTGTACTCCTCACCAGATACTGTCAGGATGATTAAATCGAGAATGATGAGTTGGGTGGGACATGCAGCACGCATGGGGGAGGGGAGGCCCAAAGGAAGGAGACTACTAGGAAGACCTAGGTGTAGGTGGGAGGATAACATCAAGATGGACGTTAGGGAGATAGGAATCAATGGAGTGAACTGGATGCAGCTAGCTCAGGATAGAGTCTGGTGGTGAGATTTTGTGAACATGGTAACGAACATTCGGGTTCCATAAAGAAAGTGGGCTATTCTTTGACAAGCCACATATATTGACTTTTCAAAGAATTTCCTTCGCCATAGAGTGAGTGAGGTTATATTTGACAGATTCCTTTAACTTGTATCAAAGGATTACGAAGCTGGCATCTATAGACAGATTGGCTGGTATTAGTTTTTGTGTCTACAGGAACATTATCGCTACTGTTATTACTGCAGATGCAGGTCTTTGGGATGTAGTCATAATTTTTATTATATAATTTATGCTTTTGTCTCTTGGAGCAAAGAATGTCTTACTGACTTATATGGTCTTACTCTGTTGTACTTAGTGGTCTGTTGATCTTGATTAGCCCTCTGTAATGGACTCAACTTAATTGGTACTTTTCACTCAACGATGGGAGCAGATCCAGTTACCAACATGAAATGTAGGATGTTGGATAAAGTTAAACTATCACTTCTGACTGTAGTACACTGTCATCAGTGCTTTCAGGATTGTTCTGTAATAAAAGTAGTTGAATATGTGTATAATATTTCAGATTAGTAATAAGTTGCAAGATACTTCAAACTGTAATTTAAGTGCATCAGTTTTTACGCAGATTCTACACAGTTGTATGATATGTAGTGATATGGCCTGTCTTCCAACCATCTCTTCAGAGTTCTTCCATTTCAGGGAGTTCCAAATGATATGTGGAAGATTTCAAAAATCAATGAGAATTATGAGATATGCGATAGCTACCCTACAGTGTTGGCAGTTCCAGCTCAGGCCACAGATGATGACCTGAGAGCTGTTGCAGCATTTAGGAGTCGAGGTCGCATTCCAGTATTATCATGGATCCATCCAGAGAGTCAGGCCACCATCTCCCGTTGCTCACAACCATTAGTGGGTGTCAGTGGAAAGCGTAGCAGAGAGGATGAGCGATACATTCAACTCATCATGGATGCTAATGCTCAGTCACATAAAATGTTTATTATGGATGCAAGGCCAAGGTAAAATTATAATAATAAATTGAAACCTTTATAATTTATCCTAAAAATCACTCACTGAAGTCTGACTACTGTAAAATATTTTAAGTCGCACTATTTCTTAACCCTTTGCGGTCCATTTTAAATACCACTAAGGCTCTCTGCTGGTCTATTTAAATGCCACTAAGCTGTATAAATTGAACTACTATTATGAACTGTTTTGATTTTCTTTTTAACTTGCATTAAACGGAAGACATTTTGCTAAATATGGTGAAAATAGGTTTTGAGAGGTTCACAGTTCCTTTTGTTTGAATACTGACTGTGTGAAATATTTTTCATGGACTCAACCACTGTTGCTAGTGAGATGTGTATTAAGTGTTGCCTTTCTGCTTCCTGTTGTTCGGTAGAGAATAAAGCAAGTCCAAGTCAGTAGATATGTCTTTGGTGACGTCTAAACATCTCTTATTGCATGCAGATATATGATGTATAAGCATTGGATTTCTGATTCTCAGAGCTATGCTTCCTTTTGTGCTAATTGTGTTTGAAAGTTCAAGACCAAATTCAACACCAGGAAAGTGAAACAGAATGTGAAGTTTAAACGATGAAGTCACTACACATAAAGAATGCTTGATAAGAAGACGTATGAATACGCATTTGTCATTGGTGGATTAATCTATGCGTCAAAAATAATTTAAAAAAATATAATTTCCTACTAGGAAGATAAGACATTTGTTTCATAACTTTATCAGCTATAAAATACTTCTATTCTAAGTAAATATGACAGCTACACACCCGATGGTGTTCCTTCACTATATGATGCATGGCAGAACACTTGGTGTGGAGTCCTGGCTTCTTTGGACACGTGTCGGAATAAGACGACTTTTCTCTCCTGCCTCCTTTCACTATTACAAGGTTCACAAAGTCTTACCAGGAAAACTAGGAGAGAACTATTACAAAGAATAAGGCTTGAATCTTATGCTGACACTGTTTGCCAGCCTCAGTTTGACTCCAGATCACGTAAGAAATTCGAAAAATACGTCCGACATCGGACTGGAACTCGGATATTTAAATGTCGGACTCAGTCCGACAGAGACCGCAAAGGGTTAAGTGATAGATGTGTCCAGAATTTCTGTTATGTGTAAGGTGAAACTTTGAGGGTGAACAAAATGTGTCATCAACCTTTCATTTCTGTGTATTTAAAATGTTCTTTCTTGTTACACAAAAGTAATCCAAAGCATTTCTTTCTTTTTTTTCTCAGTGCAAATGCAATAGCAAACAAGGCCAAGGGTGGTGGCTATGAGTCAGAAGATGCTTATCAGAATGCTGAACTTGTGTTTCTAGATATTCATAATATTCATGTTATGAGAGAGAGTCTCAGGAAGTTGAAAGGTTAGTGTGAGTTATATTTATATCTTTCAAGTATGTATTCACACAGTTTTGTTAGTAAGCTCCATTATCTACCAGACAGCACAGTGCTGTGCCCCAGAGATAGCCATCTTCATCTGCCTCCACGAAAACTTTAAATCTCATAAGTTTTTTTTTAACAATTTTATACTTCTAAGTATAGGGGGTCACAGCAGGAGTGTTAAATGTTGCGGTCCCGATTCAACCCATGTACTGATGGGTTGTGAATCCTGCTAACCACCAATGCACACCATGTTGAATGGTGTGTACTGGACACGAAAAAAAAAACTTCTAAGTATGTACCAACTGAAGAGTTGAACACTTTTATACATAAGGTCTTGAAAGAATATATGTTTATTTACATTATAGATTTTTCCAGTGTGGAAGATGTAAAGGCGAACATAAAATTTTAAATAATGTCAGATGTAATTTAAACTGTTCCAGTATTTACATTTGAGGTTTTCTCTCCGCATTAATTATTTTATTTCTTTCAGAGTTGTGCTTTCCAAGTATAGAAGAGTCTCGTTGGCTTTCTGGAGTTGAATCTACCTATTGGTTAAAACACATCAAATGCATTTTAGCTGGAGCTGTTCGTATTGTAGACAAAGTAGAGAATCACAAAACCTCTGTTTTGGTCCATTGTTCAGATGGTTGGGACCGCACAGCTCAGGTGGGTCACATTACCATTAGACAAAGCAGTGTCATGCTTATAAGCATTCTTTATTTTCTTTGTCAGGAAACATTAGGTATAAGGCAAAGGTTGATTAAAATAAAATAGAACATTTCATTGTTTGTTATAGTAGAAGTACAGGTATTACAGTGAAAAATGAAGTTATGAATTTCTTACAATATGGTACAACAAATTATCAATTATTTCTGGATCCTTCATTGATATTGCAGATTATTTTGCAGCAAAAAAGAAAAGAAGGAAAGAGAAATTATAAGAAGTAACACAGTCAAGTTCGGAATCCACAGGTTACCCAAAAAGTGGGCAAAATATATTGCATAGCTACAACAATATGCTAGAAAACTGAGCATAGTTTGTGTTATGTGTGAAGCCTGTAGACAGCAGAAAAATAAAAGTCCAGGTTGAATTTGAACCACCGTTTAAACTATCCTATAGCATGAATGTGTAATTTTGGGTACATTTTTTTTTATAAATTTTGCTTGTTATTTCTGCTATACTGTGAAAATACAGTAAGGTATAACAACTCTAGGTTCAGGTGGTACACAGCTCAGTGCATTCATACAGGCTATACCAACTATAAAGAATTCACATCTATCAAAGTAAAAATATTTGGTAGTCTAAATTTTTACATTTTATTACTCTTAATTAAAGAAAAATAAGAAAATGGCTTTATTTAAGTTCTTAAAAGACAGATCTAGTTATACTTCCAGTGTTTGAAATATGAGTATGTTAGTATATATTCTTTCAGAGTTATATTTATTTTGTATTTTATTTGAAGGCAGTATTTTTTTCTGTAGCTTACAGCTTTGGCAATGCTTATGCTAGATCCATATTACCGCACAATAAAAGGCTTTGAGGTACTCATCGAGAAGGAGTGGCTTGGTTTTGGACACAAGTTTCAACATGTAAGTAATTGAAACTGTAAACATGCTTTGTTATTAAATGTCAGAATTTAAATTTTTGTGCCATCTGTACTGATTGTCATTTTCATTTGTAGCGGATTGGGCATGGTGATGATCACCATTCTGATGCAGACAGATCACCAGTATTTCTTCAGTTTATTGACTGTGTGTATCAGATTACAACACAGTTTCCCAATGCTTTTGAGTTCAATGACCATTTTCTAATTACCATACTAGACCATCTGTACTCCTGTCGTTTTGGAACATTTTTGTTTAACAGGTAATGTATTATTACAGGTTCATGTTACGTACAGTGCCTGCCACCAAAGTTAATCACTTAAGTTTGAAATTGGGAGTGACGTAAGTGTACAGTTGACATAATTTCAGTTGTGATAATTTTCATGTGTTTATCCATGTGTGGTTTTTTCTCTGCTTTCCATTAATTACAATTATTTATGCCAGATAATTATTAAGTAAAGACACCAACATGTCTGCCTGATTTGAAGATGAACATGAATTAATGTTAGTGACATTTCTGACATAAGTAGTTTCCACAGTGAAACAAATGTATCCGTATTTGATAGTAAACAAGTAGGTAGGATAGGATAGGATACTAGCATTGATTGCAAAGGTCAAGTGTCCATGTTTGAGTTATGGTAACAGCATGTTTAATGCATTTGTTATATTTATTTAAATTGTTGAAGTTGTGCAGTTGTATATTCAACTATGTTCCAGCAATTCCATATGGAAGTTATAACCAAGAGTGATTGGAAATGGATACTAAAATTGTGGACTGGGTTGTTCTAAAGAGAATGTGTAGTAATTGTTCATCTGTAAAGTAGTATGTATATCCTGTTCAGTAACTTTTATTAATGAGCAAAAAGTAATTGTCAGTATCCACATTATCAACATTATTTGTGCTGTATTGGTGAAGCTAGAAGTGCAAACAAAGCAGGTATTTTACTTTTACATGATTTTTGTTCAGTGGCTTTGTGATTTAAAGGTTCCAGTTTCAAATATATTTTATTTTCAAGAAACGCATATCATGCTTCATAAGCATACTAATCATGCAGAATATGAATTGTAGGCCTACATAACTAGAGAGTATCAGTGGTCCGAAACAAGTGCTGAATATGTCTAATTCTTTGATGGCTTCATTGCAGGAAATGTTTGTTCACAAATGTAGGTACTCCTGAAAAGAGTGATAAACTGGAAATCTAAATTTCATAGATCTGGAAATTTTTACTTGTCAAGGTTGTGGTAAAAAGAGTCCACTAATCCTGATTCTCTGTGTTTATTTCTGTACTAGGTGGAGTACTGTAGCTCGGTAGTTTGTAATTACAGATCATAAAGCAGTTGTTCAGGGTTACATGAGAATGGATCCTTGATTAACCCACACTAGACACTGACCTTACTTTCCTCTCTCAACAGTTTCATGTCGTTTGAATGTCTCTTCCCGATATAAATGGGCTTCAGTAGAAATGTTTTTCATATATATATATATATATGGGAAAATGTGTGAAGTAATCATTTGAAAGGTGGAAACTGAATTTATATAGTTTCATATGAAATGATTTCATGGTGTTTGGCATATCATAAATAGGTTGAGACGCCATGAAGGTGTGGCTTGTTATGTCACACAGGGAAAATAAGTCATAAATGCAAACTTCATCCTGTAATTCAGAAATGTGTTTGTCACCCACAAGAAACTATAAGTTCACTGTATATATCCACAAAATGCTTTGGCACTACTCCCCAACTTAGCCAGTGAAACTTCATGTGGTAAATTAGAGATCGCTATATTTGGCATCAGCCTCTTGGAGCAATGCCTGGTAAGTTCTGTGCTTCAGTCCATTGTTTCATTTGTAATTCACAACAGCAACAATTGTAGACATCAGATGTTGAAATTGAATGACCTTGCTGCATAATACTTGCAGGCCATGCATTGTGTGTTGGTTCTTGAAAGGCTTGTTTTCAGGACCTGGCATATTTAGTATGTCCAGAACCCTGAACTTTATCACAGATCTTATTTGTCTCAGCATGGACTCAATGTCTTCTCCATTTAACCATCTTAAGTGGCGGTAGCCCGAGAAGAATTTATCATACTAAGTCACCGTGAAAGCTTCACATCAGGAATTGAAATGTTGCTATAGTGGTCACAATAGTTTTTGGCCGGTGGAATATTCAAAAACTACTGCGGCTGCTCTATGTCCCTACAAGTTTTCATAGCATTATAACCCAGAAGACTAACAATGACAAACTGAGATTGAATTAATTCATTGTTTTCATCTATTTCCATGACCACATTTGACATACTAATTGATGCTTGATTTATACTTTTACCCGCACAAAGTCTGCACTAATAGCCAAAATTTACTTTCATTAATTTTGTTAAGTCAGTGGAGAAATATACATGGTATGTCTTAAAGACAAAGGAATGTTATCTGCGTTTTATTCCTAAAAACTAATTCAATTCTAAAGGATTTTGACGACAGTAGTTTACAATTAAAAGACAGAGACAGAACCAGCCTCCGAAACGTCGTGATTTTAAAGAACAGACAATGGAAAAAGTCCTGACAAAGAATAATTTTAAGTCTAAAAACTCATGTTTATCATCTAGCTTAATTAATGTTATGTAATTTTAGGCACTTTGTAATGTGATAACCCTTTACTTTTGTTACTATGCAGTGACAGGGAAAGGGCTTCTGAAGGTGTGAAGCAGAAAACTGTGTCACTGTGGTCATTTATCAACTCTGATCTGGATGTGTATCGCAATCCACTGTATTGGTCTCCGGCAGCATACCAGCAGGTGCTTGTTCCAATAGCAAGTGTGAGGCACATTACACTCTGGAAGGGTCATTACTGTCGTTGGAATCCTAGCATGCGTCCACAGGTACATAAGTTTTTCACTTTATTGCTTATAGACTTTTTTCTCAAAATGTGCCCTGTAGTAATTTACATAATTTTTTTTCTCACATATTGTACTGTATGCAAATGCATGAAAAATGCAGTGTGCCAAAGAAATGTCCAGAAATATAAAATGACAGTTATAATATATATTTTGTCAACACTGATTATTTTATTAAATATAAAACACAGAAAAACTGGAGGAAATCTTATAACCAAATGATAGTCTCTTGCTGTTCTGAATATTTCTTTGAAACTTGTTCAGATTGGACCTTATGGAATGAAGAATAAAGAAGCCTTGACCAGGAAAGCTTTGTAATGAGAATATATAAACTATATTTTATAAAACTGTACTGATTAGTGAAACTTTGGCATCATTTATTTGTTTATTTTTCTTGTTACAGCTCTAATTGAATTATTTTGTTTGAGAATGTTGAAGCATATGCATGTGGTTATTACTTGGAAGATCAGAAAATTCAAACCTCACATAATACCATACTTATCCAAACACCACATCCACGTTTTTTCTAAAATTTATGCACAAAACACTAAATGTGTATTATGTTTGAGGATTGATTTGGGTAGCTTGCAAAGGGGGTTCTCAGATTTACCTTTGTAATTTTACCTTCTGTCACTTTTTTCTGTAATCATCTCTTTCATTCCCACAGGTGGTCCCCTTTTCATGCTGAACACCTATCATATCAACCCCATAATCACCATTTCTTACTCAGCTGGATTTGTCATGTCTGTTTGTGTTTACCACAACAGTTCTTATTCTTCTAGGTTTATGAATTTCTTGGTTTTAAGGCTCATTAGGTTTATTAAACTCCTGTCCTACCAGCCCATGGTGCTGTCCCATGGTTTTGGTATGGCTTCCAACTTGTGTGTCTAGAAATGAAGGTTGAGTGGTCTTCTCTTCTTGCCCATTTTGCAAGTCTACGTGTGGAGCCAAGACCATAAGTTATGTGCATCCACATGGTGCCTCAGTAGTGATCCAGGCAGCATTGACATTCCAATGATCATATAACCACTGATCTGGCTTTGTTGCTTTGATGTGTTAGTGCTGACTGAGAGCTGTGATGTAATTAGTGTCCACAAGTCCCTGAAGCTGTGTGGACCTGTCTCTGTCTGTATGGGGTGTGGTAGGCCATGGCCAGTTATTCGCATGATAGTGGAATGAAGCAGCAGCTCACCAGTGGTGTAGGACTTGCTGTTAGGTTTGAACATTTATTTGGTTTTCTCTGTGTTTACCTCTAGACCAGCATCTAATTTAGTTGTATTTTTATTATGTTTTCACCCATTAAGGAGCCTGGGTAGATCAATCAGTATAGTGTCTGACTACAGACTGAAGGACCAGGTTTTGATCCTTGGCAGGTGCAAATCATTTTTGTTCTATCCTCCATTTTATTGGGTACTGGGGGTCCTTTCCTCAAGGATATATTGTGTGTGTGATGCTGACCACTCACCTATTTAATGCTGAGGTCAAGAGTGAGTAAGATCTATGCCTTCTCTCTGCCTAAGCACCTCCGCGGTATAGTGGTAGCTTTACTTAAGTTACTTTTACCCAGTAAATTAACATTATTACCAGAAGCCCCTCACTTGCAGTGTACAACTTCAGCTTTCAAGGATGTACTGCATTGAATGTTGAAAATATCCAACATTTTGACAAACATTAAAGTTGTCATGATGTGGTATGGTTGCAGATGTTTGTAAAGTGTGATTAGTTAGATTTTCTTTTTTAGGATCCAGTTTATCAGCGTACCATGGAGTTACTAGTACTGAAGGAGCAATTGGAGAAGCTAACTGAGGAGTGCAAGCGAGAGCAACAGTCAAGAGCTGCTAGAAATATGGCTACACCACCTCGTTTAGCCTCCCCAATACGTAATTAATTACAAAATAGTCATGCACTAAACCCACAGAATGTGTTCATATATAATCTGCTCAAGAACCAAACAGCATAAGTCTGAAACTAATATTTCAACAGGTATAATGTTATTGATAAATTTATTTATAAAATATTTAGGAATTAAGACAGTGCAGATGCAATAATGACATCAAGGATAAGTTTATTACCTGAATTCTTGAATCTGATATTGTGTCAGATTGATTTCCTGTAATTTATTCTGCTGACTACCATTACTGATATTGAAGTTCAACATTGAAACTTGGTAGTCTGAATCTTTGCTTTTTACCCTAGGTTTTCTAAGAATGTATTTCACTCACACTTTCATACAGTATATATGCAGATGATAATTTTTTGTAAAGGGAAAGATAACTTATGATTTCTTGATATAAATGTTTTAACATTTATATTTACAAAGTATTGCAGGTCATGGAGATGTCTTGGGATGCCTGTTGTTGGTATCTCAAAAGCAGGTGTTTTATCATTGGTGGGTTTATGATTCCCAGTTACTTGAATGTGTCTAGAAATGTTATCTTCATCATATACACCCTGTAACCATCTGTAAGACAACAGATATAATTGAAGAATAGAGCAATAGAAGTCCACCATCACAACTTTCAGTGTCAACCCCAATTTCTGCTGTTTATATTTAACAAGGTAATTTATTTAATGTTTTTTTCATTATATAGAAGTCTCTTGCAGTGCTGCTCTTCATAAGAACGTTGTACATAAAACATTGTAATGTGTATGTTTAATTCTATCCTTTGAACAGTGTAACAGTGTCACATACTCATATCTAGACATTTGTCTTTGTTGCTGTATTTATTATTTATAGAGTACTATTTGTGTCTATGAGCCGGGATAGCTCAGTCAGTATAGTGACTAGCTACAGGCTGGACGACCAGGGTTCGATCCCCGACGGGGGCAGAGGATTTTTCCTCTAGCCTCTGCGTCCATACCGGCTCTGGGGCCCACCCAGCCTCCTCTACAATGGGTACCGGGTTCCTTTCCCGGGGGTAAAGCCGGCCGGGGCGTGATGCTGACCACTCACCCCCATCTAGTGCCGGGGTCAAGGAAGAGAGGAGCTATACCTCCACTCACCCCAAACGCCTACATGGCGTATAGTGGGACAAACTTTACTTTTTTACTATTTGTGTCTATTATAATCATAAAACTGCTATTTTCACGTGTAAATGTGACATACAATTAATAAAATCTTCTTGGGCAATCAGCCCTGTCAACTGGTTACAGTAGTAAACCAACGTTTCGGGAACCAACTCTGTCCTGTCTGTTCAGAACCCTGATGATGGGGACAGAGTTGGTTCCCGAAACGTTGGTTTACTACAGTAACCAGTTGATGCGGCTGATTGCCCGAGAAGATTTTATTCATTGTACTTGCAGCAAAAGTCTCAAATCCTATAAATGTGACATAGAAAATTTCTGAATGGGAATTATGTCAAAAAAATCTTTATATGCTCATTATTTCATGTTGGTCTGCTGTTTTAAGGCTTATGCTCTTTGGATTTTGACATAATATAAAGTTTTCCTTTTTTATGTGCTGTAGTTTTACTTCGTCCCATCCTAAACAGTTGACCAGACAGAGTGAAGTATGTAAGTATGCTGTCTTAATGGTTGTATGAGGACATATTTTAGTACATATATTACATATATAAGGCTGCTATTTGTGAACGTGAACTCATGATTGGAATAATATATGTATATTATTATCAATCATGTAACAAACTGCCCAGCTGTTCCTTTGAACAGGGGTAAAAAAATAGTGTGAGTACAAGTATTTAAATGGTAATGAAACATCTGTCTGCAGAGATGTATATTGTTAATAATATAAATGTTAAATAGTTTGTCACCTTTTTAATTATTAATGCTTGAAATTAATGGTTTGTGATATGTATAAGAGCTGTAAATAACCTTTAGAATATTAGTGTCTGAAAATATCTTTTGCATATTAAATAACTTGAAACAAATAAATGTACAGCAGGTAATATTATTTTTTCACATTTCCTGTAAAAGGGATGAAACTTTTATTTGTAGAGATTTAAAAATAAAGAAAAAAATTTAAAGGATTTTACTCTGAATATTTAAATGAAGACCTTACTTGGCTCCACACTTTTGATTACACATGATTATAGTCTATCTTTGTAGTAGGGATTTGGGAAACATTTGTATGTTTGGCTGTATTTTTGAAAGACATGCGGAGATTTTAATGTGAGAGGTGAGTTTTAATTCCAACCCCTTTTAATTTGCAACTCTAATTTCTCCACAGTCTCAAATTATGCATTTTTGTATGGTAATGAATGTTCTAGATGTGTAGGTACCCGGTTTTAATCTTACTCAGGATACTGGCTTTCCTAAAGCAGGCCACATACTTCCTGCTTGTCATGTTACCAGCAAACACTGAAGTCTGAAGGTAAGATAGAACATTTATGAGAAGAGAATCACAGACATAATTGTGATGTACCATCACTGGTTCTGCTCAAGGGAAATCTTTTGTAACTTAATTATTCAGATGAAAGACCATGTGCAAGGTACAGGATTTACTTTCACATTGTTCAAGTCTCATGTGTGACCCCACAAACCTTTGTCTTACCTTTAGAGAGCATGCAGGTAAAGAAGTGTATGTGTCTATTGTGTACCACCATCATCTGTATAGACCAGAAGTTGAGGTGTCCCATTCAATTACAGTCCCACCTGGTTTTCTTTGACCTTCCAAATTGCATATTCTAAAGCACCAGAGTTAAAGTTTATTATTAAAATTTTATTTTAAACCTGTTCACTCGCAGAAGGAAAACTGTTGCATTGTAATGTTCTTACTCTGTGTCAGTAACCTTCCTCATATCCTGTTTCTCTATTACATCATTTTTTTTAAATAGTGTGTTGTTTATTTTCTGTATAATGAAAAGTTCATGAAGAGGTTATCTTATACCAGTGTCTTCTGATTTATTTCTTGGCTGAGATGCAGTCTGAGTTGGCATTATACTGTTTTTTCAGTGTATAATATATGCAGCATTCAATAAATTGCTGAATCATAAATGGGTGAAAGGCAAATGGTTTCTGTTTTTGAAACTAAAACTTAGTACAGGAGAATTATATAGTTCATTAGTGAAGTCAGTAAACACAGTTTTAGTAGTGAAATTTATTTATTTTTTATAAGTTAGATCCTTGCTAACTTAAGTTATTTATTAATGTGGCAAGTTGTCTTCGTGCTGAATGTATGAGGGTTGTGAGTGAGTGCAACAGATATTATGTAATTGACTCTATTCTATTTCTGTTGAACTGTTGTCTAAGTTAAACTTGTAAACAGTTAAGTAAAACATTTAAAAATAACTACTTCACATTTGTTTCAAAAGTTCCTTTTGGGAATGTTACACCTGTCATTCAATAATTTCCCTATTTTGATTTTCGTCCAGTGACATTTCACTGCAGTACATGGGACTCCTGGGCAAACATCCTGCATTTGTTATGTTATGTCTGTTGGTTAAAGATGAGACAGTGAATGAATTGTTTGAATCGGTGGTAGTACTGTGTTTCAGAATTTGAAATCTTGTAATGACTGGCTGTCTGAGTTTGTAAAATATCACTTATGATTTATCTTAGTTATGTAATGAAGAATTTACATAAATAAGGTGATAGGGTATACAAAATAAAATGATAAAGGCCCTAAGCAAGCAGATAAAAGAAAAAAGCTAACATGTTTCAGGGGTCACTGATTTAGTTATCTTTTACATTTTTTATATTAAGTATGTTAAACAGTAAGCAGAGGTTAGTGTAGAAACATATCAATTAAAAACGTTATGTGTTTTTTCAGTGTTCATGTTTTAGTACCTTGGTGACACATGCATTGTTAATTTTTTGTCATTGGAAAGGTTACCAGAAGGCGGAAAGAAATTTCAGAAAGTTGTAGTAGTGTAGTATGCTGTATCACTAAACATTATTAAATTAATATTTTATATTTAATTTTCTAATACAATAGTGTGTATATTAATTTGTGCTCTGAACTTGGAATGAGAGCGTCAAGGAGGGTATTTTGATAGTGGGTCAAAGGTAATCTGAGTATTTGATCTATCATAGTAACCAAATAGAAACGAAACAATTTTGTTACTGTGTTCTTCTTTATTCTGTGAAATGCAACAATCATATAAGTGACAGTAATGAATTCTTTTCTTTGTATTAAAGGATACTCGCACTGATTATTTTCTCATCTCATAATTTAATTCTGTAGTGCCTCATTAGTTTTTCCTTTGAATTTTGTTGTAGGAAATGTAGATATTTTGGAAAGTGGTGCCAAGAGAAAAAATAGTGACTCATGTTCCGACAGGCAGCAAATAAGGTAATACTTAAATTGTTATTTTGTGGTCTACGCATTAACTCTTAGTCTATTCATTTGGTTCTGACAATAGTCAGAATTATTTAGGTAATTGAGAACAGTGAACTTTTGGACACAGTAACAATTAATAGATAACTACCATACAAGTTAAAACAAAATTCATATGCATACTTATAAATAAAGCTTTATGGTAATTTCTTCACCGTATTGGTTTAGAAGATTATTATTGAATGTTATTTCACTAGAATGTGAAGAAATTTTATCTGTGGACAGGAACATCTCAAATAATTTGAAAAGACTCATGTTTACTCTCTAAAGCCAACTATCCTGTGATTTTCTGGTTTTTATTGGTTTATTCAAACAACTAATGGGGTAAAAATAAATTTATACCATTGTATTCATAATCTACATCAATTGAGAATTGACTGTCTATAAATTACAACAAAAATGCTGTTGTTAGAAGACTGTGGAAACAGGCTGTGAATTTTGTAGTCTTCTGTAGCATCATGTCTGTTAGTCTGAAAATTACATTCCTAAACTATGTACACTAATAATTCTTTTTGAGAAGCTTGTCAAATTCTTCACTTTTTTATTTTTCTTAAGTTTTGTTGCCATTAATGAGAACTCACCTTCGTACTCTACCCTAATCAGAAAAACCCTGTCCACACCCTTATACTCATTTTGCTTGAGATATATTTTAATACTATTTTCCCATCTATGTGTAGGTCTCTCAAGTGGTCTTTGACTTTTTGCGCTAACATTTTATTTGAACATCTCCCCTACTGATACATTCTGTGTGTCCTTCCCATCTCATCATCCTAATAATAATAATAAGTTAAGAGTACAAATTATGAGGCACCTAATTTATGTTCATAGTTCTTGTAGTTCCTGTCTTGTAGATCCAGATATTCCCTTCAGCACCCTGTTTTCAAACACTCTAAAGTCTGTTTACTTCCCTTAGGGTGAGATCAAGTTTTACATCCATACAAGACAGTAGATAAATTATAGTTTTGTATATATTTTAATATTTAGATTCTTAGATAGAACTGATTAAGTAGCAAACATTTCCAAAATTTAATACTCCTGTAATTTTATAATGTAATTTTGATTTGTTGTAGTTCCCAAATGTTTGAACATTACCAGATTCCTTAACCTATAACTGGTGACTTGCCTGGAAATGTGCAATGGTTAAACATCTTTGTGTTGTCATTCAGCCATAGCACATTTTGTATTGTGTTCATATTAAATTGTATATTTACTTTCACTCTCAGCATCACTCGAACCTCCTTGCAGGTACCCAAGCACTTCTCCAAAATTGGGATCATGA